TCATCTGGAAAGCAAAAGTAACATATTAAACTGTCATTTACAAGGAGTGAGCCAGACATTCAGGTCTTAGATTCAAACAAAACTTGGTGAGCATGTAGCCTTAAATTAAACACAAACAGCTCCTTGTCCAAATAATAGGACTCACTTTTCAAGCATTTCCAAAAAAAATGTGCCTCTGAAAATTTAGTGTTTAACTTATAAGTCTTTGGAAATTTCATATCTAAGAGTGGTGATAGCAGAGTAAATAAAATGCTAAGCACTACAGTTAGCCAATGTAGGTTCGACAATTTAGTTTAGTTTTTTATGTGTAACATTATTATTTTATTATTTTACCACGTTATTATTACTTATTAGAATTATTATTACTATTATTATTCCTTACATTTAAAACTTATGAAACGAGAGATTAAAAATTGTGTCACAATTTTTAATCTCATTTTTAAATGGACAATAATCTGTTTGTGTTTATGGCTACGTGCTCATCAAGTTTCATTCGAATTGGACCCCTGAACATATGGCCCTCCCCTTGTTAGCAATAGGGATCATTTTTGAATCATTTTTAAATGAGTAATTCTGAATAACACATTTGATCACAATTTTTTAACAGTATTTCACAGTATCTGTCGTGTCAAAATTTTTGTTTTAGTCTACTGAAAAAAGATCAAGGTGAAAAAGTCATTCTAATTTCTGTCAGTCAATAAAAAGATCCCAGTGGAAACAGTGGGTAGCTTGCATAAAAATGCCTTTGGCTCTTGACATCACTTTCTACTTTCCTTCCTGAAATTGCCGTGTGACGTCATGTGCACCATACATCTAATGATTTCAAGACTCCCACTGTACGGAAGCTTGACATTTTGCTGTTTTTCTTGAAGTATGATTTGTANAAAAACAAAAAAATTATATTTTGGACATTAATCTAGTATCAAAAATGCTCGATTCAGCACAACACAGTCCAACTGGAAAGCTTTCAGTTAACCGATGTTTCGGTTGATCAACATTTGGATAAACAACGCTCTACTGTACATACTAGTGATGCCACGAACAGTGATTTTGCCGAATACCGAATACTCGGCTATGCTTTTGGCCAAAGTGCTGAATATTCGGCAGCCAAATGTTCGGCAAAATATGTGTACATTTTGCAGGTGACAGGTTACGACCTGTCACATTGCGGTGGGTGCGGTAGCAACACCATGGGCACATTTGTTTTATTTGCGAGTAGATCATGTCACGACATGCATTATTTGTTCATTGTTACATCAAATTGCATTACTAATTATTACTAAAAAATATCACTGTTTGTATCACTTTATATGAAAACTGTTTGCCTAGATCGAATGGCAGACCTTTACAAGTGGTGGTCAGCAAATACAAAACAGTATCCAAGCCTGACAGAATTCGCTAAGATTTATCTATCATCTCCCGGCAGTAGTGTATATAGTGAGAGGCTATTTTCAGAAGCAGGTATAATTTATGAGGAAAAGCACAATCGTTTGCTATCAACAAATGCTGAAAAAATTGTTTTCATTCATCACAACTTACCACTGATAGATTTTAAGTATTAAATGTAATAATTTGTGATTAAAATAAATATGTTTTTGAATAATACGTGCATTTTTTTTTCATGATTTGGTATTCGCTATTCAGCTGAATACCGAATAGTAGCCGAATATTCATGGCATCTCTAGTATATACTATATATACCCACCCACATCCACACCCACACAAAAAAAAAACATTTCAGAAATTAGATACAACTTTCATCTCTGAAATAAGCTAAAACAAAACAATAGTAGTCTTAGAGAAACTTGATCTCGCTTACAAAAGCTTAATTCAAAGTAAAAACTTTGAATCTCTTTTAGCATTAGTAATCCATCACAGAAGACAATTGCCTACTTACTCTGTGTGCTAACTAGACAATTACTAATTCTATTGAATTGCTATAATGCTATTCTTTAGTGCTGTCATCTGATCATCTGGTGATTCTTTATAGACTTAATAAGGAATAAAGTTGTACAATGTCATGCTTTTCACTATAAAAATTGCTCCTGTTGTATTTATTTTCAACTATACCAAATGAAACGAATTTAGCTAATATTACAAAATAACGAATTATATAATTTTTATTTAAATGAATATTGTCAGTTACACTTTTAAATTAAAAATGTACTACTACAAGTACTACTAACAGTTTAAATGAATGTTTCAATTTTTAACATTGTAAATGTTTTCACATACAATTGTTATTATGGGCTGATGCAAAAATTTCTGCAATTTTATAGATCTCTAACATATTTGAAATTGTTCTCCAACAGATAACATCTAGAAGTTTCTTGAGGGATATGTAAATGAAGTGTTGATGCGCACAAAAGTAAAAAGATATTGTGTGATGATACAAACTTTTTAATTAAATATATCAAGTTTGCCAATGCTTTCTTTCTTGTTACAGTACTAAATTTAGACATGTGCACTTTATGATTATCATTTTGGTATAAAAACAGCTGAATCTTATTATGGAATGATACAATCATTTGGAGAAATGAAGGATAAATATTATATTACATAAATTTGGTGCCAGTAAATTGACATTTACAGAGAGAGTATACTCCAAGCTTTGACTGTAGCACAAAATAAAACACCACACCACAACTAAAGTTCACCAATATTCAACAACTGTTGAATATTGTTGTCTAAAAACACATTTACTGGATTTTGAACTTTTTATAATTTATTTCTTATAATCCAGAATTACATTTGTTTTAACTATTTTCATGTGCTTTAAAACAATCTTGCTTTTGTATTGTCTTGAACTTTATCTAGCATGTCAATAAAGATCTAATTGCCAAGTTCACATGCTAAAGCTTTACATTTGGCAAGAATTGTAAAGTAAAACTGTTTTAAAAAGTATGATTCAACAGAAGCATCATGCATGTCACTCACCTCACTTTCATTTTCTTGTGGTGGATTATTGGTTGCATTATTTAAGTCTATTGTTGTGTCCAACAAATCATTTGGAATAAAATCATTGTAAAGTACTTTGCTAGTGTTTCTAAAGTAACTTCTGGTGAGGGTGTTTTGATCCAGCCTATAGAATCACTGATAGTGACAACTTTTTTAAAGTCATACCCAGATGTTACTTCATCCATCTTTGGCAACAAGTGACCATAACATTATTGTTTGATAATGGATTTTAAATGCATATATAACATCTTGATCTAGTGGCTGTAAACACTGTTCAATTTGCTGAGAATTTCAACTCTACATGTGACAGCTTCCTGTAGCAATGGCATGGGCATTATCAACAAACAATTCTCTTGTTGGTAAATTTTGTCATTCAACTTGTTAAGTCACAAACAAAAAATCTGATATGTCACTCACAATTTCTTGTTTGCATACCACTGAACACCAAGTTGCAAAACACTAACATTTTTGAAGTATCTTGGCTGAAGACAAACTGTATGGAATAACAACAATGGCTCCTTTAATTTACAGAGGTTAGCACACAAGGCAACATCTATTAGAGTTCCACATATCAATAGCATCTGCAGTACTCAAATCACAATGTTGTTGCTCAGACAAACTTACCAAGCCACCCATTTCTGGCACAAAATGTAGAAATATCAAGTTTCATGGCAAATTTTAAGACCATTTCTTGCAGCATCAATCCTTAAACAAGTAGGCCTTTAGCCTGACTGCAATTGAACCACTCCAAAATTGCTCTGTTGACATCTTCATATGGTTGGATACATCATCTTTTGATTTTCTCATTTGTATTTGCTTTCCAATCACTGAAATAAAGTTCCTTATTGGCAAGAATTGTTTGAATTTGGACTTCCAATTAAATTTCTTTGACAATTGTCAATGCTTAATAGAGAAATACTTTCCTTTAAAGTCAGGAAATTAAACTGTTTTGCTGCATACACTTGACATCTTGCTTGTACCATAACTAACTTATAGACTTAAGTCCTAAACTTTGTGTTAATTTTCAGAAAATAATTACAGACTTAAAACTTAAAATTACATACCATGAATACAATCTTCCAGCAAATAATATGTATTTGAATTAAATACAAAATGGAATGTTTTGGAGCCTGCATCGAGTGTCAATCTTTACAGAATATTAAAAAACATTCTAAAATTAGAATCTCCAATGTTCTGTAAAATTCAACACTTGATACAGGCCCTAAAAGAGACAGAGAATGTTCCATTTTGTATTTAATTCAAATACATATTATTTGCTGGAAGATTGTTGCATGGTATGTAATTTTAAGTTAGGCACCTCAAATTTCTTCCATTCCTTCAGTGAAGGGATTAAAGATTTAATTGTTATAAAAATTACTTTAACTTTACTATGTGATATCTGTCAAATAACTCAGATAGAATTTTTTTTTTAAATACATAGTTGAGTGTCCAAGTACTTATGCATATAAAAAAATCCAAGCTCAGTAATGTAATAATATAAATTTTAACTTAAGATATATTTACTTATGATGTAACATTTAGAAAAATTATTTTAATAAATGGAATAGCATTTATTTCATTAACACTTAACTGTTAAATTACTTTCAGGAAACTAGTTTTTTTTATGCATTTATATGCATATGAATACATAAATTAAACAAACCTTTCTTAATAATATTTATGTAGTATATTGTGATTTAGGAAGATATTTAAACACAGTTTTCAACTCAAATAATTCTCTATCTAAACATTCTACCTAAAGTTAAATATTTTTGGAATATTTATCAAAACCTTCATATTTTATTTTAAAGACAATTGATTTATATCTAAGTTTCAGAATTCCAAAAATAGCATTTGAAGAATTCTTGTCATTTTATTCTACTCCTGAAGCAAGTTTCATGATATTTGTTTGGAATGCCTTATTATTGATATTTAACATTATTAGAATNATAACTTAATATAAAATAATAATAAAATAAGATAAATATAACTTAATAATTTCATTTAGATATAAAAATGTAAATTTTTAGAAAATTTCTTACCATATTCACTGGGAGGATATGGCATTGGTGGTGGATGACCATAATGTGGTACTGTAAATGCACTGCTATAATGCCTTGCAAGAGGTCCAACATTAACCATTGGAATATTGTTTATTCCTGCCAAACCATGACTAATTGGATAAGTTTGTGTATTAGAATCTGGTATCACAGGAGAATGGCTGGGGTAACTATAATAACTTTGACTATTATGAAGCATTGTACTCATCACATGTGGTGGAGTGTCTAGATGCATTTTTCTTGGCGACGATCGATTAATGACAGAGGGAGGTGGTGTAAAACCTTTAGTTGAACTTGGCTTATAAGTAGTCTGCATTTGTAAACAATAACTTTGACTGTTTCCTTTAGTTTGATAATGATACATTCTAGTAATAGCAACATCATCTTTCTCTAAAATATGTTCAATTTTTTGTTCTACTTTACCCTCTTCCTTAATTCCCATATCTTCTGTAGTATTAATATGAACTTTAGTAACTTCTGTATATTCAGTCATTCCTACTTTACTAACAGCAGTACTGGTCATAGTTCTTGAAGTATCATTGGCTGAAGTCATGGAATGCAACTCACATCTTTCTTGGACAGTACAATCAACACTTGAATCTTTTTCATCATCTACAGAAACTTTTTCGTTATCTCTAGCAGTTACTTGAACCTGATCTTCTTGATCATCTGACACAGAAATTATTGGGGAATGTCTATTCTCAGGTGAATTTGAAATATTAAAATGGGAATTTCTAAATTCTGTAACCTCTTCTAAATCATCAACAATAATATTTTCACAAGTATCTTCTGAATGACTAATACTTACTGTTGAGTCACTATGGTTATTATAATCACTATTATCAGAATTATTTACAGAAGTCAAATCAGATTTCTTTTCATTTTTTAAGCATTTTTTTTCATTTCTTTCTTTACGGCTTCTTTCTAACAAATAACTAGCAGCAAGAATAGCTTGGGCATTCAAGTTTGCCATTCTTTTACAGGATCTGGTATCAATAATTTCTACATCATCTAATTTTCTTTTATGATTTCGTCTTTTCCTAACTCTCTTCACTTTTTCTTCACTCTTCTCGTTAAGTTTGGAATTTTGCTTTTCTTGCTTATCCCTGAATGAACTATTTTTATTAGTTGTCTGTTTATGATGACACAATCTGCGATCACAATAATCAGATTTACCCGTTTCAGAACCACAACCCTCTTCACTCTCGTAACTATCATTTCCATTGCCACGACATTCATTTTCATATAGGATATGTACTTTAGCTCTTGCATTTAAACTTGCCATACGATGGGCACGAGCTACAGGCCATTCATCCGAGGCACTATAAGGAAAACGTGGTCTCAATTTACGCTGTGGAGACAACATTGAATTTGATTTTTTGTCTAACGATGAATTTTTATTTCTAAGTAATTTCAAAGCAATAAGCTTCTTTGTTGATCTACTGTCCATTTTTCGTAGATGGTCGTAATGTCTAGTAGTTATTAATTTTGAATAATTTTTCATCTCTCTTTTTTAAATGTTGTAAAGCTTGAAAACAAACTAATTCATTTATATTTTGAGAAATTCATAAGTGTTGTATTATTTTCATTATCTTAAGTACAGTTTATTTTAATGGTTATTTTCCCTTTTATACAGAACATATTATTTATCCATATTCCATATTTCACATGTATCCAATCTTCAAATATTATTATATATATTTCTTTATTCAAATATTATTATATATATATAAAACATCACATGCATTTTTCATGCTTGGATAACATACAAAACAATGGATATTTATGAGATGAGTTGACTTCCTTCCAAACCAAAACACATAATCCATCCTTATATTTTTATACGAAAATTTTAAAAACGTATATTCTTCAAATAATGAATCTAAAAAATAAAATAAATATACAAATTAATTGCATAAATAAATGATATTTATATTAAATCTGATTATAATTTAAAAGAACCAAAATATAAACTAATCATATTAATGAAATTATGATGATGATGATTTGAATTGATATCAATTAATAAAACTATCATCATTTAATATAAAGAAAAAAAAGAAAAAATAATGATATCTTATTACCAATAACAATAATTCTTATAATATAAATGACAAAGATTTAAAAAACTATTTAATGGGGTCAAAATTGTATTTTATATACTTATAAAATAATATAAGAAAAATCTCTCAGCCTCTTCTGACTTCAGATGTGAATAAGACATTCAAACAATATTTAAATCAAGAAAAGGATGTAATTCTTCTACTTCACACAACCATAAGTAACCTATTAAATGCATTTTGTCAAAGTGATGATGCTTCGGCTTCAGTGATGATAATACAATCACAGAAGGGGTCAAAGCATCGTCATTTTGGTAAAATGCATTTGATGGGTAACTTATGGTTGTATGATGAAGTATAAGAATTAAAACAATACTTTCTTGGTTTAAATGTCTTATTCACCTCTAAAGTCAGAAGAGGTTGAGTTTTTTTCCTGGTATTTTATATATTTGTAAATTAATAATTCATATTTAATGCTTCTTGTCTATACAGAAAGGATTAAAATGATTTTGCTTCCAGTATAAATACCCCATGTTGACTGAAGTAATCTAACTTTGTGTTTATTATCTCAATAATAGTTACACAGTAGAAACCTTGCTTAACAGTGTTGTGTCCTATAACAATACTGTTATAAAAAGGTTTTGTGGATTGTTGTTTTAAAAACGCAGTGTTAAGATTAGTAGTCATTTTGTGTGTTCACACACATTTTATATAAACATCAACAACCATTGCCTGTTATATAATAAACACCAAACGATATGCCAAATTCCTGGGCTAGGTAAAGACTATAATTAATATTAGAAATTAATTAATTTGACTAGAGGTAAGTAGATATGCTGCCATCTCATACTAAATTTAATGACCAATTCCAAATGAAATTTTTAAAATGTCTAAATTAGAAATTAATTATTTATAATTATTAAATTTAATACGAGATGGAAGCATAACTGCCTATCTCTAGTCAAATTAATTAATTTCTAATATTTAATTATAGCCTTTATATAGCCCAAGAATTTGGCATATCGTTTGGCTGTTTATGAGACATATTATCTGTGATTTTTTTTTCTTTTCTACAAATCAAATTTGCATTCCAGGTTGGTTCATTCCATGCTAAAAGAAATGATGATGATGATTCATGCTCCTGAACAATGTATACTGTATAATTTTCTTTGAATACACATTATACATAAAATATTTGAGTATTTTTTTTTTTGGCATGGAATGCATTATCGTATTTTACATTAATTTCTATGGGTAAAACTGTTTTGTTTAACGAGTGTTTCACATTAAGAGTAAAATTCTGGAATGAATTATTCTCATTAAACAAAGTTCCACTATATTAGTGAATAGTAGTCAATATCTAAAGTTAAATATCAGTTTGCATAATGCTCATATTTGAATTGAAAAAGTGAGTTTATTTCAGTTTTATATTATATACATAAGAGAAAACAAAATTTATTAATCATTGTTAAATGTAATCTGTTAACATCATCATTTTAATATACTTTAATTAGTGTTACTTTTATTTATTTCAATTAAAATTTTGCTCTTAACAAATTATATTTAACAATGATTAATAAAGCTGCTTTTTTCTAATAGGATTTATCATCATATACTAACTCATTCTTAACAAGGTGAGAAGCACTGCTTTCAATAACAATTCAATCTCTTCTTAAAGCAATATTAAATATGTAAATTAAATAAACTGTAGATACTAATAAGTAATTTAAAATAAAATTTTATACAGTTAAGAAAAAATGTCATGATTTTAAGCTATCACAAAAAGAAATAAATATAAAATTGCAACACTGGGAATTGATGAAATCATGTTGAAATTTTTGTTATAGTCTAAACTGGAAATAAGAGGATTAGCTTAACCATGGTGGCTAGAGAAAAAAACACAAATGGTATCACAAGAGATTGTAGCCCATGGAGCAGAGGGGAGCTACACCAGTAAAACTATAAAATAAACTATACTGTTCATTTAATATTCAAACTGTATATGTTATGTATGTTAAACTTGTCTTATTATTAATACAGTCAAGAATTTAGCAATAAATCATTCTTCTTAGATGTCTTTCTAATCTATGTCAATGCTACATTCAAAATAAAAAACTACAAATTGTATTTATATCATCAAATTTAACATGTAAAACTGAAAGTAAATTCAGTTAATTTTGGCAAATAATAATAGTATTTTATTTCATGTATTTAATATTCTGGTTATAGCTGTATTTATTCGTTTGTGAATTTTTTGTCTCTTTAATCCTTTTGGTAGACTATCTCACAGCAAAGGTTAATAAATTCTTTTATTAGTTTTCACATATGCATTTCGAACCGGTATAACATTTCCGGTTCCTCTTCAGTGTTCTACAATTATAAAAATTAAATTGATATAATTTAAAAAACTAACAAAGTAATTTGCCAAGTAACATAACATAAACACATCACAAATACCTCTAAGGGTTTTACACATTTCCTTTTTCATACAGTTGGATCGTTACTTACTAAAACAACAGTACAAGGAGTAAAAAGTAATATGATGAAATTATCGCTATAAAAACAAAATAAATAAAAACTAAGTGGTAAATATTTCAAAAAAGGAAAAGGGTATTTTTATAAAATATGCACACTGACCTTTTTTTGGTTTAATATGCTTTGAAAAACACTCAATATTTTTAGATTTGGGTTCGCAATAATTAAACATTTCTATAAATAACAATTTACAATGACAATATGAATAAACATCGTAACAAGCAAGTTGTACAAAGATTTTATAAAAGTATACATACAGGTTTCTTTCTTTCTAATATTGTAAATGCACAAATGTCAACTTACACTAGGTAACTTACACAAAGTAACCTTTACAATCATTCTTTTAGTGTTAAGTATCACAAAAAAATTTTTTATTGGTCTATTGCCACGCCCTCTATGATGTCGTACCACTGTTGTTCTATTTGCATGCCATTAGAGATATTTATTAAATTATTGTTTTTATTTTTTATTATTTCAATATGTTCTTTGAATTTTCTTTTATATATATTTTTTTCTGTGTGTAAGATTTTAATATTATTTCTATCAATTTTACATTTACTATTTTTAATATGGTTATACCAGGGAGAGTTGTTATAATTTAATCTAATGGCAGCTTCGTGTTCTTTAATACGTGTCTCTAATGTACGACCAGTTTCACCTATATAATATTTCGGGTTTTGGCAATTACAATTGATTTTATATACAACACCAGTTTTCTTCAATACATCATTATTAAATTTGTCTGTTTTTGATCTATTAATATGAACATTCTGTGAGATTTTGTTGGTCAAAGCTGGGGCCAATGCCACATTCTCTTTTTTAAGATTTTTATTACAATTATTAAAAATATTATCAATGTATGGGAAGGGTTTATATGTTTTGTCTTTTTTAATTTTTGTATTAAACCTATTTTTATCATATTGTGTTTTCCATATCATCAAAGTTTTCTTGGGATAACTATTTAAAATGAATTTCTGTTCTAATTCTTTTAATTCAATTTTTCGGTCATTTTCGTTGGTGGTTCTTGTATATATATTTTTTAATTCCATTATATATGTATTCTTTTTTACTGTCTGTGGAATGCTAGAGTGATAGTTTATTGTTTTATTTACATTGGATGGTTTTTTATAAGTATTAAACGTAAATTTATCTGTTTCATTATTTATTGTTATATC